TTTTTTTAATCAGCAATTACATTCGTCCTATATCGCCTAATTAACACAAAAATCAAGGAAATTCCAAAAATTGTTATCATTGAGAAACGCTCATAAATTTATTGCAGGAGCGCAGAATAAAGAGGCAAGAGCGAAAGGTTCGTGAAGACTTCACAAAATTCTTGCAGGAACTGCATAAGAAAGGTAATATTGCTATTTACGATCACTATCTAATTATTTTCATCGTACGTTTACAGGTGAATTGACCTCAATGTCTCTCTGGTCGTCATTATATCCTGCAATCTCTTCCGATCCACGATTCGATGCAATGCTTACCCAAGACGGTAGTTCGATTGGCGTTCTATGATTTGACTGTTCAGTTACACATATATTTTGCCAGGCTCAACACCCCTTGATTTGTTCAAATTTTACGTAGAAGACCTGAAGGAGCAATACGGGCAAGATCGGCGCGTGATCAAAGATATACTAAATGATCAGAAGAAGGTAGTTCAGGTGAGACATAAGCTACCCTTTCCCAGCGATCATCTAAATGCTTCTATGTCAGGTGGACACAACTTATGAGGAGTTTTCAAAGTGGGTTACTTCCGCAGAGAAGGGACTTCTTGTAGATCATGGTAATATGAAGCTGTGTTACAACTCACTTGTTGAAAAGGTGCGAATATTTCCTTTTTGATCACTTGAAAATACTTTGAGTTCAGGCGGAATCAAAAGAAAGGGAAGCGGAGCGAGAGGAAGCAAGAAAGAAGCGACGTCAAGAAAGCGAGTTTCGTCATCTTCTTCGTGCACAGCAACCGGTTGTTGATGCGAACACCGAGTGGTCAGCAGTACGAGGAAAAATTGAGAAGGAAAAAGCTTTTCTTATTGTAAGTATCTCAGTGACATCATAGTGGTTGGTAGTGATTTTGTCAACAGTCTGTCCTTGATGCCTCCGCCTCATTCAAAGAAATCTGTCAATTTTCAATTACTTTTGTAGCTTCCTTTGTCTAATTGGAATGAATCAATCACGAGTAACCTGGATGCTTATTTAGATTGAATCAGAGGAGCTTCGCATAAAATACTTTGAAGAATACAAACGTTCTCTCAGTGAAGCTTGTACCCATCATCACTCGTTGTCCAAGAAAAAGAAGAAAGACAAAAAGAAGAAGGGCAAGAAGAGCGATGTTAGTAAATCGTCTTTCTTTTTTCGTATTGTTTTTTTTTTTGTTAATATTATTAAATATAGAAGGAATCGGACAGTGATAGTGAACCGAAAGAGAAGAAAAAACGAAAGAAGCACTCAAAAGAGGAAAGGGATAGTGATGAGGAGAAAGGTAACTATTCTTTGACCTTATCATTAAGTAAGTGCTTTAAAGTTGCAGGGCGTTCACATAAATCTCGCAAGCGCAAGCGATCGCGGTCACGCTCCAGTTCTCGAAGTGGAGACGAAAAGAAGCGAAAGGTATGTTTGAAAAAAGTTACTCATGCAGTAGATGACTTTATCTCACTCACTTGCTGGCCAGCAGGTCTAAGTAATGTGATGAGGTGAAGCGATTCCATTATAAAGCAGAAACGCGCCGCATACGGGGATCTCTCACGCCAAGCTACTTCGCACTATTGCTTGAATTCTTATATCTGCGCTTTCCCACTGCATGAGTGTTCGTTAAACAATGACAGAAAAAGAAATCAGTTCCCAAGAACAACTCAGTAAGATAATGTTTGTTGTTGAGGGTAGAACAGCGTTTTTTTTTAATGCAAAAAAAGAAACATGTTTTATTTGATGAAGGGTGAGCATCATAATTGAAAAAAAAACAGAAAATTGAGTTGTTGCTACTTATTGGACATTCTTCGTCACTTGAATTTCGTTAAAATTCCAATATTGGCACATCACTCAGTGCTTAAGCAAGTTTTCCTTTCCAAGAACAAAAAATAACTCATTTTTTTTTCAGGACGTTTCCGACTCTGAGTGAGATGGCACTTTTCATGTTATTCAATGTAATTTTATAAAGCAGTAGTAGTTTATTGTACTGTGAGCAATAGATCTCGTCTAATTTTGAGTGTTTTGTGCTTTCTTTTTATGGGAAATAAATGTGTTGTCGCTGTATTTGTTCAAACATTGAATTGTGAACTAAACAATTTATATCTTCCCTTTCATTTTGAAACTAGTCCCATAATCCAAAAAAGCTACTCTTCCGTCCTTAAAATTTTACAGATGTCTAAAACATCGAAAAGCGGTTTGATGGAGCCAAGAAAGGTGAGCTTCGGCTTCATATTGAGAATGCAAAGAGATTTTTTTGTGAAGTATCATTAATATTTGATTCGAGCATTCTTTGAATATCTGGAGCAGAGAGTGAAATATTGATTTTAATTTTCATCGGCATAAGTGTCATGTCTACGGAGATGTGACGTTACTACTTTTACTCCAAGAAATTTTTTGAACAAAAACCTCATTTGAATGGCAAGTTAGAGACTAGAGGTGGGAACAAGATTTCAGTATAGTCCCATTTTTATGGCTGCTTTTTTTAAATCACCGCCGACCTTGCCACGGAGGAGTTGTGTCCAACGAGTATACAGTCGATTGAAGTACGCAAAACCCTGTTCTCAACGTTTCCTCGATACAGTACTGCTTTGTTATGCGTTTGTTTGTATAGATCTTACCGCTTTTTAAATCTACCATCAAAGTTT